TTACATCATTGCCTTTTCTCTTTTACTTTCCTTTTTAGTTCTATGTTAGGATTCCCTATTTTTAATGTTCATACAGAGATTTATTTAACTGAAATACCAAATAGTTTCTCTGGTGTGAAAAACTATAATAGTACACAAGATCCTAATGAGATAATAATGTGAAATAGGATGTAAAGGGCTAAAGGTATAGGGAAAGTGGGAAGGGTGGGGGAAAGGTAATAATGGAGAGGAAAAAATATGAGAAATTGAAAAAAATGGAAATAAAGTGTTTGTAAATGGGGAGGGGGAGGAGGGAGGGGGTGAAGGGAGGGTAGGGAAAAGGGGAAAAAATGAGAATCAAGACCTATCATGTAAAGGTACAGAATCCCAATAATGAATGTAACTGTATTGTATACCTAGATTGTACCAATAAACTCAATAAAAAGAATAAAAAAAGTTTAAATGCATGTATTTTTAAATGAAACTTACATGGACTAAAAGTAGAGAATATTTTTAAACAAATATACAATATGCAGGCAGACAAAGCAGGAAAATGTCCATTCAAACATATAATAAAAAAAACTAAAAATTGACTATTTCCAGAAAACTATGAGCCATCTCAACTAGAAGTAATGCATAATGAAATTCTAATACAGGTCAAAAATATAAGAAGGTTATAAACCTTAAGAGGAAAAATAAAACAACTTTTACTGGCCATTCCTATTGAAATGAGAATTGTAAAGTAACAGAAAAGTGGTTACAAACCCAGATAGAGCACCAAACAGAGAGAAAATAAAAGTCCATTTTCATCACTGTTATCATCATAAAATCCTCTATAACTACAGGTCAAACTGCTGGTGACAGAAACAGAATTCTTTTTTTTTCTTTTTATTGACTTTATTGATATATTTTAGATATACAGTACAGTTATTCATTACTGGGATCCTGTACCTTCACATGACAGGTCTTGGTTATCATTTTTCCCCATACCTCTGCCCTCCCTTTACCCCCCCTCCCCTCCCTATTTACACTTTATTTCCATTTTTTTCAATTTCTCATATTTTTTTTCCTCTCCCTTATTACCTTTCCCCCACCCTTCCCACTTTCCCTACACCTTTAGCCCTTTACTTCCTATTTCACATTGTTAATTATCCCATTAGGATATTGAGTACTTAGAATTCTTTATAAACTGCAAATGTCCTGTACATGCAAAAATTTTGCACTCGTTCTAAAGATTCTTCTGTGTTAGCCTACCTACTGTATGCATCCAATCTGAAATAAAGTCTCTTTCTGTAACCCTTGATGCTTACTGGGCACCAAAGATTAAAAAAGCAAGAAAGGATATAAAAATGCCAAATTTCAGTAGTAATGTCAATGTTTTTGTCTTAGTCCAAAAGGGTCCTGCATTTTCTCCCCCTTCAGGGTTTGGACAAGTCCTTTAATCTGGGGGCAGCAAATGATGCAAGTGAAATCTGTCTCTGATGTGAGGTCGAACATCTTCATTCAGTTCTACAAGATTCTCCAGAAATGGAATCAATTTTAGAAGTTCGTTGTCATTTTTATCCATAAACCAGCTTTTTATAGGGATTCCATTAAAAAGCTGATATGCAAAGGCTTGTGGTGAGTTGTCAATTATTACGGTTTTTGAAAGATCTCTTCCGAGGATATTTAAATCCTTTATATAGTTTCCTTGTATACAAACACAATGTTTTTGAAAAAGATGGTGCCTGATCAGTTGCTTTTTAGGGTCTAGTATGTCCAGTAATTTGTCTGTATATACCTTCTTAGAAGTAGTAAAAATAATGATCTCATACATCTGAGACATACGTTCCAGGAATTCCCTGAAGAATGGTCTTACTCTCACATACACCTGATATATGACATCTTGGAAAATGACTGGAAAAGTATGTGCTGCATCTTTTAGCTCATTTAGACTACAGTGCACTAGTGTTTCATCCAGATCTAAAACTAGGGTGAATTTTTGTGTGCGTCTTGTTTTCAATGGAAGAGCAGGTTTCCTATTTAGTTGTTGTTCTGTCAGTGGTGGAACATGTTTGATGAAATAATAGGGGTCAAATACTTCCCAGTTTTCTGCATAGGTGGCCTCTGCAATGGGTGATGAATAACAACTCTCTGGGGTCATTGTTGCTATAAGGTGAGGATTATCACAATTAACTGTTTCTTCTACTTCTTCTAACCCATTGTTTCTCAGTGTACTCACTGGAACTGCTTGAGCTGAGTGAGCTGCTCCATTGGTTGATGTAGTAATACTGGTAGTGATCTCATCCACTTGTTGCATATCGAGTTGTTTTACTATCTCTTCAACTTTCCCAGCTTGTCCTGGGGAATCTGATCCTGATGTTCCATTTTTATTTGCTGGTGAAAAAATGTCGAAGAGAGGAATAAATAAGGTCTTCAACAGTATTGTCCTTGGAGGACTGCCAGAGGAAAAATTATCTTTTAATTTCCCACTTTGTTTTACATGTTGATTTGTCATTTCATAACTACCAGCTCCTCCATTTACTTGACTTTTCCGTCTTACTCGAGATATCCGTTTCTTAGGCTTTTTTCCTGCTCTTGGTGTTGATGTGATCAAATTATTATCTATATCACATTCAACTCTACTTCGTTTCAAAGGATTTTGTCTCTTTTTTTGGGGTTTTCTTCCTTTAATGACTTTTTTAACTGACGACAATAAGCCAGTCTCATTTTTCAGTGGTTTTTGTCCTCGTGATGACAGGCTATCATCAACCTCTGGATATTTCCTTTTGGCTCTGGCAGTGCATTGTGTTTGGATTGGATTGGACCACTCAGAAGCTTTTCGTTTTCTCTGCCTCATCTTTTATGGGTGCCACACGTAAAATAGAGCGCTGGAACCGCTGAGGACTCGTGGAGAGCGGGAGGAGATCCGGCAGACGGCCGTAGAAGAGGACTAAGTTTGGTGGTGGCTATGGCAACATCTGATCGAATGGAATTACCTCACTATGATGACAGAGGAGTGTCCTCGAGCTCCGGCTATGGTTCCGATTTCACAGTGTGGGGGTGTTCTTCCCGCTTAGCCCTCAGCAGTAGCAGAACCACTTCCTTCAGTTGGTCCCCGTTTCCCGCCTACGGACCTGCCGCACCCCACAGATAGGAACCAGATGGAAAGCAGCCTCCCTGCGCAGGCACCCTGACTTCCTCCTCACCCTCCCCATTCCCATGACAATCCATCCAGGCAGGAGAGAAGGAACAAGGAACACAGGCGGCCCAAGAGGGCGGGGTAGGGGCAACTGCTCAGGTTTCTTTTTAACAACATACTGTACTACTTATGTAATAGTGATAAAGTGATAAAGACTGGGGAGGTTTGGAGGAGATGAAGAAATTAACTTTACATATTTGGTTATTTTTTAATCTCGACATTTTCTATCAGTATTTTTATAATACATACTAAATCCATTAATTAGTTGTGAGAAGTTGGTACATATACATAAAACATCTAGATCCTTTTACTTCCCCTTTCCCTCTCCTCCCTCTTGGCTCCCCATACTCAAATCTTCCCATCTTCACAGTCTATCTTCCTGTTCCTTATCTTCTGTCTTTTGTTTTGCTCTTTAAATTATTTATACTTTGGATTTCTTATATCACATTTACTTCACTTAACGTTGTGGACTCAAAGTGTATCCATTTTCAAAGTGCATCCAATGATTCAAATGACTCAAATCTATCCTATATGGCTGAATGGTACTCAACTGTGTATAAATACCACATTTTCTTTATCCATTCATCTGTTGATGGTCATATAAGCCATTCCACGATTTAGCTATTATAAATTGTGCTGTCACAAACATCAATATGCATGAATCATTGTAATATGATGTCTTTAACTGGGAAGATATCTAGAAGAGGTATCGGTGAATCTAGTGGAATTTCTACTTTTAGTTTTTTGAAAAATCTCCGTATCGATTTTAGTGTCTATGATATGTCCAAGTGCAGAAGCCAAATCCAGCAGTAGTTCCAAAGGGAGGCCTGAGTTAGAAGTGCAAATTTTGAAAGCACTGACTTGTGGATGGGACTTAGAGCATTGAGAAAGGAGATCACCTGGTGTTTAAAGAGGAGAAAGAAAATAGCCTAGGACCGTGCCCTGATAAGCTCCAAGAAGTCAAGTAGAGATGTAAGGAGAGAAATAAGACAACATTTTAAAAAAAATGTGATCCCCCAGGACTCAAGGAAGTAAATACATGTGTGAATGATGGATGGCTTCAAGTCTGAAATATTTTCATATTTAAAATCCCAAATTTGCTACACTGTAGCTAAGGATCATAACCCTCCCATATTATCTGGGAGCATCAAGTGATATTTCATCATCAAACAGTTATTTCTGTCATATAGTTCTGTTTATAATTTATCTAGTGTTTGAAGCAATGTTTAGTCCATTGGCGGAATAAGGAATCACTCTCTAACAATGATTCTGTTTGCATGGATAGTAGGAAAACAAATAATTATTAAAGTATTTTGGAGAGATTCATCTCTGGGGCTGATTTTCTTAAATATCCCAATATGATTATCTTTTATTTACACAATTCTTGACACTTTACAAGACACCTGTATATGTGCTGTCCTATTTAGCCCTTATCATAACTAAGAAAAGTAGAATGTGAATGAGCAGAAATAATCTCTAAATGCTCCATAAGCTAATAAATGGAAAAGCTGTGGTTAGAATCTGGGGTTTTTTATTGTAATTTATCTTTCATCACACTATCTGGAATGGTAAATATTTTTCATGTCACAAGTAAACTCTTAGCTACCTAGACTACTTCATGTGAAAGAGTATGAAGCAAATTGGGGAAAGTTCAAAATCAGTGTCATAGACTGATTAGTAATGTGCCTCAGAGGCATTCATTGAGAAAATAATGATATAAGTACATTATATATATCTGCCCTTCTGAAGCTAAGCAACTTCCTGTTATTTGAAAGGAAGAATATTCTAACTAGTTTAAGACTTGTTATATCACTTATTGTGGTTGGATTTTTAAAAAGTTTATAATAAGAACATGCCTTTTAACCCTTTCCCAGTGATAATGAATAAGTCTATTGGGGCATGTCAGGTTTCAGTTTACAGAGACTCAAGATGAAATAGCCATAAAACCCTTTGCAAATATTTCTTGGACAAACTAATTTCCTAGTGGAATTCCCGGATTCTGATCTCCCACTGGTCTCAACTCCTTTGGGTAAAGGAAATGAGCAATGTATATTGGTCTGCTTTTCAGGCTCTTAAATTCTGCAGTATACTGGGGTGATATGTTTCTGTTCCTTTTCATTATTGGAAGCATTGATGGAGATTCAAGTCTACCTCCAGATGCTATCTAAAGACCTAAAATCCATCATCTTAGAAGTGTCTAAACATAAAACATTCACTGTATGTACCTTGACACTGTCCTATACACTTCTGTCCAGAATCAGTACAACCTTACATTGTTTTCATTTTTTAACTTTGAATTTTGAAATCATTCTAGACTTGCAAGAAAGTAGCAAAAATAATACAGAGACTTTCCATATACAATTTACTCAAGTTCCTCTAATGTTGACATGATATATAACCATAGTCTAATTATCTAAGCCAAGGAGTTAACATCAGTACAAAACTAATAACTGAACTACACACTTTATTCCTGCTTCACAACTTTTTTCACCAAGGGTCTTTTTTAATTAAGGATCAAGTAAAAAATTCAAAATTACATGCAATAGTCATGTCTCCTTGCTTTTTTCATGCCCATCCTTCAGCCTTACCTTGTCTTTGATGACAATGACACTTGTGAGGAATGGCGGTCAGTTATTTTGTAGCACACCTCTCAGTTTAGGCTGGTCTGATGTTTCCTCATAGTTATCATGAGCTCATGGATTTGGGGGAAAAATAACACAAAGGTGATTTTTTTGCTACATCTTACCAGTGGACACATGGTGTTCATGTTTTATTGCTGTTGAGATTAACCTTTATCACCCAGCTAAGGTGGTATCTATGTGTTTTTTCTACCATGAAGTTACTATTTTTCCCTTTGTAATTAATGCATGTCTTGAAGAATATCCATTATGTTGTTTTCACCACCAGAAGTAGTGCAAACAGTAGTAGAATTCAAGCACAGATCTGGGTTCTACTGCTACTGCTTAGTTCCGTGGCACTGAGCAAATCACTTAACTAGTTTGGCTTTCAGTTTTTCAGTCTTCAAAGAGAAGGATTGACCCACGCTGTCTCTTTTAGTTTAATAATCTAATGATTCTGTGATTCTCAACTTGGTGTGTTAAACAAGGTTGCACCTACATTCATGGAAGCTTGTGTCCCAATAAGGAAGATACATGATTAAAATGTGCACATTTCACGTATAATACAATTTCAGATCATGATAGCATGATGAAAAAAATAAATCAGGGAAGAGTCTAGAAAGTTGTACATGAGAATGTTGTCACTGTATATAGGGTAATCAGGGAGGTTCATTCTGGGGAGGAGACATTTGAGCAAAGATTTGAAAGAAGCAAGGAGGGAAGCCTGAAGTTTTATGAGGAATTGTGTTCCAGAGCCATACACAAAAAGTCTTTGAGGCAAGTCTAAGCTGATTACATACTATTTAAGAGAATAAAGTTAAGTGTTACGAAGCACCTTCATTGAACAGGCCCAAAGAGTTTAAGATTTGGATGAGCTAACACAGCTATTTAATATAATCTCTGGATTAGAATCCCTGTTTTATGGCTCCCTTGCAAAATTATGCCATCTGTAAGGTCAGTGTGTCTCAGAAAATTTGACAGGAAGCACAGCTACTATAGATTTCATACCATACTAAATATTGATAGAGCAATGGCCATCTTTAGCTTTTTACAGAATATACGGCTTGAAATTTCCAGGGATGCCACAGCTGGGTTTGTAGGCATCAAAGCCACAAATGTACTTAATGTCAACCAAGAACTCTGCATCACCCACAATGCTGCCCCCAGAGAACCCCTGAGTCTACTCATGCTAATCACTGTGCTGGCCTCCAAAACCTGCTCTCCTGAACGTTATGCAGAGAAGAGCAGTACTCCCAAGGTGACGGCCATGGTAGGTGAGGTGAGATGTCAACTGTGAGTAGAGATGACCACAGAAACACCTTAAGGAAGTGGCTCAGAAACACTTGGCTGTATGTTTCCAGAATGAATCCTCAAACAAGTGCTGCAGAAAGAAAGAGAGCTGAAAGCTATTGTGGCAGCCACAACCTCTTCAGAGGCAGGAATCAAAGACAGATTGGTTCTTTGTGCTTAGGTAAATCAGGAGTCTAAGAATCCATTTATTGATTTCATTTATTCTTCCATTCATCCTACTGCCAGTTATTCAGTAAAAGGTACAGATCCTATGTTATGTGCTGAGCACTGCATTAAATTGGGAAAATACAGAGATGGATAGACTCTTGTCTCCAAGGTGCTTAACAACTATCAGGGGTAGACATCTCTTCCGTATAAAAGCACTAAGTATCCAGGCATAGTGGCACACACCTATAATGCTAGAAATCTGGGAGGCTGAGGCAGAAGGATTGCAAATTTAAACTCAGACTGAGCATTCTGGCAAGACCCTGTCTCAAAATAAAAAACAAAAATGGGCTAGAGATGTAGCTCAGTATGAAAGGGTTTAGTCCCCACTACTTCATAAATTAAAAATGAATAAATAGAGTGAAGGAGAGCATTGAAGGTGCTATGATCACAGCATACAGGACCCAGAGGACTCCCAAAGGAAAGCATTTCCGAAAAAATAATGGAAAATATTACCCAATTTTAGCCTCACACAGACATAGATAAACCAAACACTGTTGACATCACTTCTTAAAATGAAAAACA